AAAAAAAACGCCTTTATTGAAAATGCTAGCCTATCCTTGCGATATTAAAGTTTCATTCTTTATGATTCGTCTACCAGATATCTAGAGTGATATTACAGGATCAAAAGGAGTGTACTCATTGCAACGGTAGATATGCGCTTACCTATTGGCTACAGAATTCTCTCGTCCCGTTGTGCCTACGGTCTCTCTCTCCCTCCTTTATCAAGCCTCGCCAGCAGTCGCACAGGGACTAATACTTTAGACAGATGAACATTGCCGACAAAGATAAGGAAGACTGGGGTGGCCAATTCTGGCTTATTAGTCGTCATCAGCCAGCCATACCCGGCACCAAGTGTTGCGGCATCGTGTATATTCCTGATCGGGACTGACAAGGCAACGAACCCGTGATGCAGCAGTTAGAGCGTTTGACTTTTAGGCAGCAGGTAGAACGTTCTAGCCTCAGTTTCTGCAACAGGCATGAAATGCTCATTCTCATCCACCTTCTTTTTGCCTGTGATGTAATTTTTTCCGTGCGAATTGGGTCATTCAATCGGGTTGATCCCACATTACAGACAAAGTACCGTGTTTAGTGGTCTTAGCTCTTAACTTGAGAAAGTATATCGTAAAAAACTCAGAACAAATATTTACTAACAGTAGGCAGCGTAATTGATGAAAAATTAAGGAAGATCACTAAGGTGGTGATGTAATACTGAACCGCACACAACATTAACCAAAGCAAGATGTCCACTTTGAACGCATACTCTTCCAGTTGCCTGAAAAAAACCTTATTGGTCGAAAAAAATGACTAATTACGTCGTATAAATCTTGCAGATTGATTTTCGATCCCCCAATAACTCCAGATATAGTTTTTAGAAAACCCGCACCAGAATATCCCTCGTTGCACTTCTTTTTGCAGTAATTTATATCCACAGTGATCAGTATGTCGACTTATCTTTTCTTAGCTTCTGTGAGCTTCTTAGGAGCTTCCGATTTGCAAAACTTGACGTTGGTCGTGGGTACCTGATGACGACTAATAATCCAGAAGTGGTAATGTT